AGTCTGTTTCCTTTATGAATTTCTTAAGGACAAGTGAATGAAAGTATAAATGGATAAATGGACAGTTGAACAGATGAAAGCATTGATTAAGATGAAAATTATGAGACTATCTTAGAAGTGAACGAGTTGTAGAGAAAGCAAATTAGAAAACACACATTAAAATGGTTTTAAATTTTCTCCTAGCATTGTTTTCTTTTTCAACTTTAAACATTAAAAGAATTACAAGTGCCAACATCATCATGTATGTGTGTCCCTCATTGATAAAGTAGGGAAAAAAATTAAATAGAACAAAGACAAACAATTTTCTATGGACCTTAGTAGCTATTTGAATTTTGCACTTTAAAAAATCTTAACTGCCACAATTATAATGGTATTAGCAGTATTTGTAGAAATAATATTAAACAACATGTAATCGTGTTAGTAATTGAAAATTTCTTGTAAGGAAGCCAGTTCTGGTGTTGATTGAAATGTACTTGATGAAAACAGATTAAAAACACACATTATGAAATCACTGAGCACAGCTGTGATGTTGCGAATGCATCCTTCATTAATAAAGAAGGACCAGCTGGAAAGTCACCATCTTTTATCTATTTTTTTGCTATAGGGCGAGTGCGCTCGCCAGACAGAGAAAGAGAGGCAGAAAGTGAGAAATCACCCCCCCCCCCGGGGGATGGCCACGCCGCAATCCCTTCTCCTCCATTCTCCTCTTGGGATCTTGGGCATGCACACACACGCGCCTGGTGTGAGTTTCAAGCCACCGGGTCTGGGACTCAAACCACAGTCGACTACATGGGAATCCAGTGACATAGCCATTACGCTAACTGCTGGTCCCACCATCTTTTATTAGACTAATTTGTGCCTATCCACATAGGTCAGTTATATAAATTCAACAATGGGTGAATATTATTGCAGCATTATAGAAAATGATGTTTTCTTCTGCCTTACTATTTTAAAAATAAGAACTATTGTCTCATGGGCCAATGAGTAGACTGGAGGTTAAAGTGACTGGGCCCCTCATCGCCAACTGTGTAGTTTGAGCTGTGGATATGGTGGCCTGAAAAACACACCTGCCTCATGTGTGTGCATGCCCGACAACCTGGAAGGGGGAAAAAACAGAGGAAAAAGGATTGCAACTTGATCATTCTCCTCTGGGATGCTTTCTCACTGTCTCTATCTCTCACTTTTTATATCTGTAGAACGCATGTATCCAATAGGAAAAAGGGAAAGAAAAAGGTGAGAAATCTATTAAGAGCAGATTTAAAAAATATATATTTAATCTTTATTAAAATACCATGTTAGGTGATATGAAGGACTTCTTTTGGAACACATCTGGAAAACAGAGACTGGGTTTATTTGTTTGTTTCATTTTGCTTTGTTTTTTAAATTTGCCAGCAGGTACATACTTGCACATGCTCTTCTCCATTTCTCCCTCGTATTGGGACTTGGGGCACATGTGCTTGTTTGGGCTGAGATTCAAATGCACATTAGGCCAGGAGGATCTAGCTCCTTAACCAGGAGGCATGGGGCCATCTGAGGGGATCAGATGGCAGGAAACACTCACCACTCTATAGGTGAAACTGTTGTCAATAGTAATTATTTTTAAAAGTAGTTATGTTGCTATAACCACAATGTCTACCAGATGATTTTTTAAACTTTTTTTTTATATTTATAATTTCTTTCTTACAATTCAGTGTAGTACATCTTGGTAAAGTATACTATGGATTATTCACTCTTTTGTATGTATGCATTAAAGAATAAAAACAAAAAATGTTACAAAACCACTTCTAAGGGAAGGCTTACAATGTTATAACTAATTTTTCTAACTAGTTTCAACTCTAAAATTATCACACGCAGAGAAAGAAACAGGACTTTCTGCATCTAAATTAATAATTTAGTTCAGCACTGTTTTTGTTTGCATTTTGTGTTTCTTTTTTTAAATAATTATTCTATTTAACTTATTTATTTTTGTTACTATTTTTCAATTTGACCAAAGAAAGAGAGAGAGAAAGGAAAAGTAAAAAAGCAACCTGCCAGATCTGGGACTCAACCCATGGTCAGCTATGTGAGAGTCCAGTTCCTTTAACTACCACGTTACCTGCTGGCCCCTGTTTTATTTTATTTTTTTGTTTTTTAATCAAAAAGAATACAACTCAACATCAACTATATTGATGAAAATTGCTTTTACCATTCAGAACTATATTAAATTACAATTCAACTTGACCTCACTAAGAAAGGATTGCCCATACACTTATAAAATACAACTTACAGAAAAATTAATTTTTTAAGTTGATTTAGAAAACATGTCTCATCTCTGAATCCTTGAAACATAACCATTCAGATGGTCCTTCCAAATAATCTCTTTTGAGATAAGACTAATCTTCTTTGATGCATAATTGCTCTGGTTCTTTATAAATACTGTGGCTTAACACTATGTGCTGAGGCTTATGGATGAATATTTTTCTATATAGTTTGAGTTTTCTTTCAGTTTCTAGAATTTTCTTTTTTACTAATTTCTCCTTTTGAATGCTTATAAAATTATGAGAGTTATCTACAAGCACACTGAAAGAAAATGTGATTTCCTTATATTGTAAGGGGTTGTCCTTTTTGGTTATATATTCCAGTTAGAAAAAAATAAATAAATAAAATGACTAAACAGTAATGTTTTTCAGAGAAATATGCTGCTTTAAAGAAACTCTGAGCCATGCCCTAAGGGACCTAAGTGTGTTCTCGACCCCAACGTGTTTTCTGTATTAGGTCATACACTTCTCTGAAGGGGAATGTAGGAAGTGAAAATGTAGATATGTAGAAAATTATTACTTCTACCATATTATAGAATCTGTATGAATAATGGTTTAATAGCAAAATATACTCTTCACTAAAATAAAAACCAAGTTTGCTGCAAGCCGCGAATTCCTGAAATACTATGTTTGAATAGCCTTTCCATAGTTTGTAATGTCTATCACATTAACCAGGCTTGAAGTCTCCTACTAACTATTGAAAATTTAGAGTATAGTCGAGGTAGTATAAGAAGGTAGTTTAAGAAAGAAAAAAAATCCAATAAATATAGCTATAAAATTTCCTTTCAAAAAAGAATAAAACATGGACTTAGCCTTAAACCCGAGTCAAAGTATTTCAAAAAAATCATAAATATTATCACCAGAGTTCTCTTTAAGAGAGTAGACTCTTTACATATGTTTCTCTCATAACATTAAAGTAGCTGTTGTCATTTTTAAATAGAAAGACAGGTCTGACCTGGTGGTGCAGTCAGTGGCAGGCTAAGCTGCTATACTGGAGGCTGTTTGGGATCCACAGTTTGAACCCGTGGGTTTACTTGAAAGCAGGCACATGTGGGATTTCCCAGATCCTGGTGAGCTGCAGGGCCAGGGAGAGGGTCCACAGCTTGACAAGACCCTATCAGGGGCTCTACTCTCTCTCTCATTCTGTCTCTCTCTTGTACACGTGTACACACTCTCTATCGTCATAAAAATAAACACACTTTAAATAAAATAAAAATGTTAATGGGGACCAGCAGGTGGTGTGGTGGTTAAGGCGCTGGACACTCCCGCATGGCCAACCACAGTTGAAGCCCTGGACCTGGTAGCTTGCTTTCTCACTTTCTCTCTCTCTCTCTCTCTCTCACTTTCTATCTCACTCTCTCTCTATGTCTCTCTCTGGTCAAATTAAAATAAAATAAATAAATAACATTAAAATTTTCAAATGTTAAAATAAAACAGTGTTGAAATCAGACAAGACATGTTTGGATCTTTCCAACCATCAGGAGCACATGGGATCTGACGGTGGAAACCAAAGTAGGGCAAATGACAGCACGCAACATCCCAGAGAAGAGGCTGACACATGGTCGAAGTCCATCTTCCCAGAGCACCCTGGACAATGGCCACTGGCAGCATAAACCCACAGATGGGGTGTTCAATACCAGGATTTCCACTGGCCTGCCTGCCTGACCACAGGGCTGGAGACTCATTCTCTGCAGCTGCTCGGAAGACAGAATCTAATGCCCAAAGAAATGACTCGTAATTAAAGTAGACTCTCTCTCTGAAAAGGATCCCTAGCTTGAGTAAGAGAGAGAGAGAGATGTGTGAAAGAGCTTTAGGAAACATCTAGACCACAGGAAACACTGAAAAATACGTAAAAGAATAGGACACCCAGGATAGTGAAATATACCAAGGGATTCTACGCAAAAAGAAAAGACACTTTTACTTTTAGAATATGGGTGTCTTTCACAACTGAAAACCTGCTCCAAAACAGGTTTGGTCTCTCTCTCAAACCCTTGTCAGGGATCCCTTAAGGCCCAAGTGTGTGGGGGTAAATAAATATACTCAAAGCACCAACCCCCACTGGGCATCAGATACCTCAATTGCAGAACAAGGCCAATATGTTGTTGGAAAGATTATTCTGAATCTGCAAAATAGAATCCGGGGACTGGCACACAGTAAGCACTTGTTAAGTGGCAAGCTAATACTGAGAGAAGCAACAATATTAATACTGATTCGATTATACTAAAAAATGTGGCCTCACACAGCTGAATTTTCCATTTTTCATGTTAATTAATCAAGCCACTGATTAAAACATGGTCCTTATCTATTAGAAACAATATCAATTGTTTTTACTATATTGTGAAAGTCATGATTTGTATGCACAAAAGTAAAAAAATATATAATAAATAAGTGATTTTTTTTGTTATTCTAAACATTTAGAAAGAGCACTGTTCCCTCTGGATTTCATTACATTCTGGCTAATCAGTGCTGATAAATTTGAATCTCTCTTAATTCCATCAGTCAAAACTTACAATAAGAGCTCAAATGGCATCTCTAAACATGGAGGGGCATATGTCTCTGGTCCAGGCCAAGAATGACTGCAAGTGTTACAACGATTATGCAAAAGCAAAGGCTATGCGGAAACATCCATTTAATTTAGATAAAAATGAAATATCTAGTATGATTAGCAAATTAAATAAAGGCACTAGTATTTTCGATACTTACTTATCTCCTTTTATCCAGACATAACTTCTGTTGACTTTAAAAACCTGTGAGAGAGAAGAGAAGAAATAAAGATCATATTTTTTAGATTTATTTTTAAAAGGTGGTTTTATTTCAGTGTATTTCCATACAGTAAGAACATATATATTTTTCTTCATATATTTTAAAATAAATAAATAAAACAAATAAATATAATAAAATTTTAAAAAAAGTTTTGACAGTAAGCCAATTAAAAATGCATAGTTTCATTTGTACTAGAAGTACAAAATAAAAGCATGCTAAAATTGGGTCTATAAACCTAGTTAATGATCTTTCCAAAAAATTTTAATAATGATAATGCATTAGAAAAGATAGTATAAGAACAGAACTACAATTGATTCTGAAAATCGAAATTGTATTTATATTAGTTAAAACCAGAGAAAATTTAATTTTCTGGTTAAATTTCTCACCAGAAATTTTTAACCCAAGGTAACTATAATAATGTTAACTGTGTTTAACATCTTTATCTGTTGATTTCTAGAAACCCTCAAAAACAACTCAATGACTATAACTCTACTTATAGTATATATTAGATCTTAAAATTAAAATTAATGTATGCTCTACATCACTTTAACTGGAAATAATATACAAGGACTTGGCATTGCACCTTATTTTGAAATTTTTGAAATAACCATAACCCAGTACTTTTGTCTTCTATTTATCCTCCACATTACTGTACAATCCAAACTCAAACAAGCTCTAGGCAATTTGAAAAATAACAAAGATAATAATTGTATTTTAATATTTTGACAGCATCTAGTCAGAACTAGCCTAAGGAATTTATCACATTGACTTTCAAAATGTTTTTAAAGTAATGGAGTATTTCCTTTTAAGAATTAAAAGACATAAATTACACAGTAGTCATCTGGGTCAGAAGCAAAACTTTTCCCATGAATGCTTGGAGGAAAGCTTGGGCACTTGCCCATTTGGAAACTCTCCTACATCTAGTTTCCTCCAACAATGGCCTTGGAAGTCATCCTTGTAATCCTGACTCAGAGCATTTTGCAGAACAACTAATAAAATTATTATTTTCTAAGTAAAAAACCTTGACTCCATCAAGAGAAAGTCTATGTCCAAATTTCTTTCTGTGTCCACCCACTCATTCTTTTCTTATTAAGTATTCTAGAACTTACATGTATATCTTGCCTAAAAATGATATTTATTATATAAGTCATAAATGTTTATTCCAAAGAGATCAGAAAATATGAATAAGCACAAAGGAGGCTATCAGCCATAGTCTTCCTGATCAGTTAGGTAATGGAGGCATTTCATTATTTCATTTCATAACTGCATGACATTGTTAGCCAGTTCCTACAATGACCCATAGATAAGTCATGCTTGTCTATATTTGCTAGTTCCAACATGCACTAGTCTGAATGTGTTACCCCATATGCCTAAACTTTACAGATGCAATAGGTACTTTTTTCCCACCCGTGGACGGGCACATGTCTTACTTAGCAGGGTTCCCCAAGCACTAGCTGCTTCTCATCCACTGCTGTGATCACCGTTACATCATTGTTCTGACACTGACCCAGTTCTCTTTAAACCATACGATTTCAGAGAACTGTAAGGTTAACGTTGAAATACAATAAGATCATTCACTCTGAGCAAATGCAAAATGTTTTGAATGCAAGTAATATCAGAAAAAAAAATGGTGAAGTAGGGAACTCTGGAGCCCCCAGACACTGAAAAACTTTTTATCACTGTCAGAAATCCTCTTATTAGAACTCTCCAAAAAAATTAATAATAAAGATAAACAAATGGCTAGCAAGTGTCAATACATGAAAAGATGCTCAATATCAGTAACCATTAGGAAATGCAAAGCACCAGGATGTCTACCGTCGAAAGACATAATAATACCAAGTATTGGGGAAAATCTGGAGAGAATGGAATCCCAGTAGGAATGTAAAATAGTGCAGCTGCTTTGGGAAATAGAGTAGAGTTTCTCAAAATGTTAAATTTCGACTTACTAAATGGTACTGAAATAAAAATCTACCTCCATATAAAAACTTCTACACAAACATGTATAGTAGCATCATTCATAATAGCCAAAAAAGTGGAAACAAGCCAATATCTATCAACAGAGGAATGGAAACAAATTATGGTATACCCATACAATCGAATATAGTTCAGCAATAAAAAGAAATGTAATACTGATACATGCAGTGATGTTGAGAAGGTTTAAAAGCATTTATAAGTGAAAAAAGTCACTCAGAAAAGGTAACAGGTGCTAGTAGACAGGTAGTGATTACGGTGCTGGTTTTCCACATGGCTGCCTGAGGACCTGGTGGCTTGAAACACTTGCACCTCATGTGCTCATGTGTGTGCAGGCCCTAAATCAAGAGAGGAGTATGGAGAAGAGATCGTGGTGGCTATTCCTCCCCCGGGGGAAGGGTGATAATCTTCTTTCTTTCTCTCTCTGTCTCTCTGATGAACGCACACGCTCTACAGCAAAAATCTCTCTTTAAAGAAAAAAGGCAACATATTATATAATTCTATTTTTATGATATTCTATTTTTACAAAAACTCCATTTCTATGAAATGTCCACAGTTTGGCAAATGTACAGACAGAAAGTAAATTATTATTTACCTACAGCTGAGACTGGGGGGAAATGAGGAGTGTCTGCTAATGGGTATAGGATTTCTTTTTTTTTTTTATCTTGATTGATAAAAATGGTTTATAACCAATTCTGATTATGGATGCCTAATATTATGAAACCATTGAATTGTACATTTTAAAAGGGGGGATTATAAGGCATATGAGTTAAACCTCATAAAATTGTGTTTTTCAAGTCAGCCCATGTGTAAGGCAGCAAGCTTCCCCACTATCAGTGCTCCTTGTAATCAATAGTAAAACTGTGGTGTTATTAATATAACTCATTCCATAGCAAATCTTTTATTATTTTGTTTTTAATGTTTTTGTCATAGGGCACATGCACTTGATGGACAGAGACAGTAAGAAGGAAGTGAAATATCACTCCCTAGGGCCAATGGCCGTGTTTCAATTCCTTCTTCTCCATTCTCCTCCTGGGATTTTGGACACGCACGCACACATGCCCAATGTGATTTTCAAATCTGTGTGCCCAGGACTCAAATCGTGCTTGGCCATGTGGGAGTCTAGCACCTTAAAGACTCAAATCATGCTTGGCCATGTGGGAGTCCAGCACCTTAACCACTATACCACCTGCTGGCTCCATTTCTTTTACTGCATTTTTGTTCTCTCACTGTGTGAGTTTCTGCTTCCTATTTTGGTAGTTTTCAAACTTTTTTTTTTTTTGAGAGATTTTTGCTATAGGGCACATGCGCTCACCAGACAGAGAGAGACATAGAGACGGAAAGCGAGAAATCACCCCCCAGGGGGGATGGTCACGCCGCAATCCCTTCTCCTCCATTCTCCTCTCGGGATCTTGGGCACGCACGCACACACGCCCAGCGTGAGTTCTAAGCCACCAGGTCTGGATTGCGAACCGTGGGAATCCAGCGACATAGCCATTACGCCAACTGCTGGTTCCCATTTTCAAACATTTTTGAAATCATCAACAAATTTATGATCACATAAAAATAAGTAATTTTTATTTATAAAATATATACATGAGCTATTATAATTAATTTTTTTTCTTTTACAGAGGTTTTTGTTATGGGGGCACATGTGCTCGCCAGAAAGACAGAGAGACAGAGAGACAGAAAGCGAGAAATCACCCCCCGAGGGGATGGCCATGCTGCAATCCCTTCTCCTCCATTCTCCTCTCGGGATCTTGGGCACACACACCCACACGCCTGGCAAGAGTTTAAGCCACTGGGTCTGGGTCTCAAACCATGGTCGACTACATGGGAGTCCAGCGACATAGCCATTATGCCAACTGCTGGCCCCAATATATTATTGAGCTGCTATAAAAATAGAAATTTAAGAAAGGTGAAATTTTAAAAATAAATCTTATTTTATTTATACTTTTCTATCACATTAAGCAATCAAGCCACATAGCACATGCTAAAGATATAATTCCCAGGCAGTATGCACTGTGTCTAGGTTTCCGAGTGTCAAAATCCCCCATAATTCTTTTCTGATAGGAACTATACATCCCATAATTTCCTGCTACACTGCCATCTCACACACCCATGTAAAGACATAAGCAAGATCAGTCGACCACTGTGCCATGTGCCACCAGGCCTACCTAAAGGCCAGGGGTAGTGGTGGTTCGTATCTGTAATTTCGGAGATTCAAGAAAGTCGAGGCAGGAGTATCACGAGCTTGAAGTTAACCTGGATAACATAGCAAGACTCTGTCTGGGGACAGCAGATGGTATGATGGTTCCACATAGTCGACTATGGTTTAAGTCCTGGACGTGGTGCTTGAAACTCAAGCAGGGTATGTGTGCATGCGGGCCCAAGATCCCGAGAGGAGAATGGAGGAGAAGAGATTGTGGCGTGGTCATCTTACTGATAGGTGATTTCTTGCTTTCTGTCTCTCTGTTTCTTTTTCTCTGGTGAGCACATGTGCTCTATAGCAAAAATCTCTCTCAAAAATAAAATAAAAATAATAAATAAATAAGAAGACCCTGTCTGAGAATGAGTCTAGTGTGATGGGCCTGCAGCTTCCACTGGGAGGCTGAGGCAGGACACAAGCACACATGGGTGCGCAAACATTTCTTGCCAGAGTAAATATTTGGTATTTTCATATTTCTTGCTGACCAGGGTAACAGTAAACAAGGCAAAGTGTTTGGAACATTCGTCAGCCTGGTAGAAAAGTAACTGAGGATAGTTTTTCAATTCCCTGGTATGTGTCATTCAAGAGAAACACAGACTCTTCTCTTTTTTTTGGAGAGATTTTCGCTATAGGGCATGTGGGCTCGCCAGACAGACAGAGAGAGACATAGAGACAGAAAGCAAGAAATCACCCCCCAGGGGGGATGGCCATGCCTCAATCCCTTCTCCTCCATTCTCCTCTTGGGATCTTGGGCACGCATGCACACGCGCCCGGTGTGAGTTTTAAGCCATCGGGTCCAGGACG